TTCCCTACTCCAAAACTCAAAAAATTTTTTTCGCTGAAACTTTGTCTATAGATGTTATTCGATGTCCTGATCACGAATATGACATTCATTTCTGGCGCTGGCGCCATTTGGCGCCAACAGAAGCCAACTCGGCATTTACATTTAACATTTACTTTTGACGCTGGCGCCATCGGCGCCACACGTTTTCTTCCCTTAATCGATAAAAGCTTGTGTAATAGGGTTGTTTGATGCATCGCGGGTATGGCATTTATTTCTCCATACCAGCGCCACTTAGCGTTCTGCTGAGGCTGAACCTGGGAAAAGGAGTGATTCCTTCAGGCCAGGCTCAGTCCTAGCAAAGCGCAGATGACCATAGTGTCCTACGTTAGCGCCGGCGCCAAGAATAAATGTCATATTCGTAAACAGGATGTCAAATAACCCCCGTACACAAGTTTTCATCGATTTGGTGCCTTAGGATGTTTTGGCGCCGGCGCCAGGCGGTCTTGGCCCAAGCGGATGTGATATTCAGGTTCAGGAGGTCGAAGTACCCCTACGAGCAAATTTTCAGCCAAATCTGCCCTTGTAGAAAAACGTCGGTATAAAACCGGCCTGATTTCAGCAGACTGGGGTAGGAAAAGTTCAATAAAGCCCAAAAGTTTTCTTTTAGTAAAAATTAGCGACCGCGTACAGATCAGCAGTCACACTTGGTCCTATGCAAAGAGGTTGCACAACCAACGTGAACACTAATCTAATGTGGTGGTTGGTGGGCCAACCCTCCTCCCCCTTGAAGGCAGTCCCCCAAAAATTGTATATGGCACCCTCAGGATTGAGGAGAATAAGCTGTACAGCGAATAAGTGGGCGGTCAGACAAACATAGACACAGACAACACACAACTGGCAACGTGACTTAGATACCCGGGTGGGCGTGGCCACAGGGGCAAGGCTTCGAAATGGACCGGTGTTTCCCAAATTTGTGCTGCAATAGATATTAGACGGGAGCACCGTTTACAAGGTAAACGTTCCTATTGTCTTCAAGGTGTGCTTAATGTTGATTTCATGATCATACGTAAGACCTGATAACCACTTTTTCGCCTCTGCCTAATGTATACCTTTGCAAAAAGCATAAATTCCAATCTAAGTTAATTCTTCCTCTCGGAACTTCTTAGTTCAAGCAGTAGAAACACACAGCTGTTTAATAAGAAGGAAATTATCGTCTCCAAGCTCAGGAAGAAGCGCTGAAGCCTAATTATATCCGTCCACGTCAAGCCCTCGCCCTATTTTGGCCACGCCCACCGGGTATCTAAGTACACGCACCCACCCCAAACTTCTGGTTTATATATGAAGAAATTTAGCCATTTTCATTGTAATCTGGCTCACAAATCACCATTTTTAACGAGAGATGTACCTCTTATTTGGTTGAATCAGTGGAACAATAGTTCACGATTTCTATTACTAGTATGATGAGGAAAAGTAATAACGGCACAGGGAAGAGTTCAGTGGCTGGAGTACCACAGGACTGCGCCTTGGAAAGGAAAAAAACCAACCTTTCTCAGAAGTGAATTTCCCCACCATCACGTCGTAGAGATACGGTTCGCGTTCTCTCATCTTCTCATCGGAGAAATATGTTCCCTTTTCCTTCAGCTTTTGTAGCATCAAATATCGCCGCTTCTTCATCTGCAAAAAAAAATAATTTCAACCAGTTTACAACCAAAAAAAGAGCCACAGCGGTTCCAAGGGAACCAACGCAAAACCAAGAACACTCGCATTCTGAGCGTCAGATTTCCGTTTTTCGATTTGTCCAACCATCCACTGTATGAGTGGATCACCTTCGTCTCGAAATAAGACACAGTCACTTGCGTCCATGTATTGGCCATACCTGCAATCTGAAAATAGCGACCGTCTGATATTTACTGAAAAAATTACAAGCAAAAAAAAGAGGAAGCCAGTGAGAAAACCAAGTCACCTCTGCAAAAACAATGCTTTGTTGGTGGTCATCAAATCTTCAAGAATTCCACGCTTATCACCCTCTGTGAGATCAGGTTCATCGTTTTGTTGATGGCGGTAAAAAACGTCAGCTTTTGCAAGAATCCTCCCGAATAGCGAATCCGCCATTGTACGTCGATGAAGCTGTTTCCAACCCGATTTCTCTCTGAAAACGTTCTCCTGAAGGTTGTTGCCATTAAAGCTGTTAACTTAACAACTCAAATTACAAAATAATAAAAAGATGAAGTCGTGACGGCGTTTCACGCGCTGCGGCGAACGGAATCGAACCAGGGGCGCAGAAAAATGGGCGGGGCTTAGTCGAACGCAAGAGGCGCGCAGACAGTTTAAACTGGAGCCCGCCAAGTTGTCGTCCAATCGTTCATGCGTGAAAACTTGATGGGGGGGGGGATTGTGAAATTCGTCTTGTCGTTAATACTCTAAAAGCCCCGCTCTCTTCGCTAGTTTGGTAAATGTAAAGACAATCTGAGTATCGCAATAGTATTGAAGACAGTCCCCGCGATCAATTGTTATGGGTAGTGGATGTTCATTTACAAACGAGCGGCCGATAAAAGACTCCCCTGTGAAGGAAAAAAAATAGCAGAAAACACTCACCCTCCTCAGCAGTCGCGCAGTCTCATTGTACAAGTTCCTCATACTTGGTGGCAGATCCACACCCTGCTGCCTGTGCAACCCCAGGGTCACGGATCGTTTTTCCCATCATCCCATGTGTTAGGATTACGGCAAATATTACATGTCAAATTTTTGCCAGATGCAGTTTAATCGTTGGTGATTCAGACCCCAAAGACGCATTTCGCCTAGTGAAAAGTACGGTTATCGATTGCTCGTTCTCAAAAAACAGAAGAGTGGAGGCTTCGCTCCACTACGTTGGAGTGCGTCCATACTTTGCGGCTGCGTTTTGAGCGTCTGTCAGAGTTTTGAGCATAGGAAAATAACACTATCAATCAATCTGTCGTTTCGGGTGTCCACCAGCGTCGTGTTTTCAGCATTGGAGCATTGTTGAGCTTCAGCGTTTTGAGTGACTAGGAAAAGAATAAATATTGATCGCTGAGAACGCTGGAGAGCGCTCAAAGAGATACCTATACTTCTCTGCCCGCTCAAATAGCCAGAAACCCTCAAAACGCTGGCGCAAAATATGAACGCACTCTTAGCATGCATTAGTGGGGTGGGATATTTTCTTAAAGGCACATTCCGCGATAAAATAAGGCTATGACCTCTCAAATGTGTCGGACGATCCGGAAGGCGATTTTTGAGGCTGCGCTACTTTCAAAATGTGAAAAACGGCAAGAACTCCGCTAGAAGCTGGCTAATTAGGCCCATGGACGGTGCTAACGTATTTGGGGGGGGGACCACGCGGCTCGCGGCGAGCGATGACTCATCGACTCTTCTGCTCCCTCCTCGGCAAATAGAAGTAATTTCGTGTTTAGGACATGAATATAACTTCGCCCTAGCTATATTCAAAAGCTAAAACAGTTAAGGCTGAAAAGTGCGAAGAAACAGTTGTAGGCTGGAAGATTTTGCCTAAAATACAAACGATTGTTGCCTTTTTGTTGATTCTTGACTATAAAAGATCAAATATTTGTTTTCAGCTTCTGTGGGATTTCCCAGCAAGTTCCCGGTAAATCTTGTTTGTTTCATTCTAATTTGGCTGCTAGATTCGCGCTTCAAGTATGCCTATGAGTGAAGAGCTGATGAGTCATCACTCGCCGCTTGCCGCGTGGTCCCCCCCCCCAAATACGTTAGCACCCCGTGGACACCCTTAGGCCCATGCCGACCCTCACCGGCTGCTACTAGCTAGTAGCCACTATGTTATCTTTCTCTATAACATTTCGGACTGCTTTTTCTGCTGCTTTTCTCCGCTAATCAGATACTTAGCACTTTTTTGTGCCTATTTGAGTTCCGTTTCCCGCAATTTGCGGTCGCGAACTGTGCCTTTAAACAGGAATACAAATAAAAATACTGCCACGCTCACCTCCTCCCACCAGGATTAAGTGTGCAAAAGCGTACCTTATATTGCCCACACTCCTTATCCCTGACCCAGAGGAGGCGTGGCACTTTAACATGGCACGGAATTGGTTGGCACTATTGACTATTCCTACCCCAAAAAACTCAAAAAAATTTTTCGCTGAAACGTTGCCTATAGATGTAATTCGATGCGCTGATCACGAATATCACATCCGTTTTGAGCGCTGGCGTCATTTGGCGCCATTATGCGCCAATTTGGCGCCCACCACTTTTTTCACCAAAGTCGATGAAAACTTGCATATGGGGTTAATTGAGGTCCTGATTACGAATCCAACATTTATTTTTGGCGCTGGCGCCATTTGGCGCCATTATAGAACGACGAATTAG